TATTCATCGGTTTCATATGAATGAACCATGGGAAGTGTCAGGAACCAATTTCAGGTAGAACTAACTTGAATACATTCAAATTTGCATTCAAATGACAGGCATAACATTCATAATGGAAAAAATGTCTGGCCCTCCAGCTGTTTCCTGCACATGCCAGCCAAATGCCTGCTGTTCTACAGAAAATGGTGCCAGACTCTGTGAAGCTGATAACAAAGCTCATGACACACACAGCTAAAGGGATCACTTACATTGTGACTAATGGCGCTCACACACGCACAATATTGTATTTCACATGCATTATTCGATACTCAGTACATCATAACATTTCCTGTAACACAACACCATCATCTACCAAGGAAGTAGTGTGAGAGCAGGGAGGGAATATGTGTGCATTGTGGCTATCCATACACAGTGACCTGTTTGTGTTGTATGTAGGTAAGCTAGGGTCAATTTACGCTGCCCTCCTTTCTAAGTAGTGTCAGATTACACAGCATTGGAAAGTATCCGGTTTGTCTAGGAGGGAGATTTTGTCCACCTAACGGACAGCTCCAAGATAAAAGATTACCTCGGCGCAATTTAACAGACGCCCAGCTTCTTGTCTAAATGCTTTTGTGACCACAGGCTAGACCAAACAACCTTTGAAACATGTAGAAAATGGCCCGTCAGCAGCCTCTCTTATCTGTTTGTTAGCTCCTGTCTTGCCCTCAGGTTCAAGTAGTTTGCCAGATTAAACCTAATTGAGCTTGTCACTTTCTGTCTGCCTGCGCTCTCAGGTTGCAGATACTCAGGAGGAGAGTGTAAAGCTCAGGGAGGTGACCAAGCGTCTGTATGCGCAGCTGAAGGACATGGAGAGGAAGCATCAAGAGGAGAGAGAGAGACTGCAGGTTTGTCTCACGAGATGAGTAACATGACACGATTTCCTGTCTGCAGCTATGACTCACCCTGCTGCTGCTCTCTCGTTCCTTTAATCATCCTCATTATCTCTCAGTGTTATCTTTGGATTTCATCTTTCATCCTGTGATCCTCCACTGGTTGCGTCTTTGCTCTACAATACATTCATCTGTCAGGTCATGTAGGGACACTGCCCGCTGATGTCATCACAGGCTGATCTTTCATGTGCTTTCCCTATCGTCTTTGCCCTCTTTATTGTTTTAGAGGCAGAAACACAATTACATTGATGCAACAGACAGACACGTCAAACCATTTAGGTAGAACATTTACTCATATCAAATTATTTTGTTAATCTTAATTTCCACTCATCAACATGTCATGATTTAGACAGCATAAAAAAGGGGCAGGGCGAATATTACAACACCAACATTGCGCTCTCTAACATGTGCTGAACAGCTCACACTGACAAGAAAAATGAATGGACCTCTTAAAGGGCCTGCCTACCTGCACAGGTGCTTTCAATTATCCTGGCTGATTAGAACACTGGTCAGGTGGTCAGCAGCTTTTACATTGCATTGTGGGGGTGTAGTGTACATCAACAGCACACAAAAAAATCAAATATTTTCCAATATGAACATCTATATACACCTATATACTTAAAACCTACATACATTTGGTATCTAGAAAGGATTTGGGACACAGCTCATGTAATAATAAGTTATCTTGCATTAATAGGTGAAAAAAACGGAAAGAGGGACATGTTATTCAAGCTCAGTTTTTTGTGGTTTTATCCATTATTCCTAATGGCTTCAGTAATATTCTAACCAAGATAATCAGGAAGATCTGGGAAAGCCTCAAATCTGCTAAAAAAGGTGTCTGATTGGGCAAAAAAACCACAATCAAAAAAACCTCCAGGAAAGACAGACATAATCTGAAGGCAAACAGAAAAATTATCAGCCAAACTATGCAGTATTTCAGGTGCACTCGCTTTAGTTTTTACCTCCAAATAAAGGGGTTCAGATAATCTGGCTACACTGTCATCTTGTTTTAAAACAAGTCAAATCACCAGACCACTCGTGTCTCCACTGGATTTTGTTAGTCATGAAGCTGTGTTGTCAAATCTCACTAGTTAAGTGTGCAACATGTTAACATAACCAACAGAAAAAATAACCAGAACTATTAAGATGAGAGCCAAGTTGTAATAAACCAAGTGTATCTATCATTACCTAATGTAGGAAATCCCAAAGCAGTTCTCACTCTGTGCCTTCCCTCACAGGCGGAGTCCAGTGAGCATCAATCTCGCCTGGTTGAGCAGTCAAATAGGCTGCAGAAGGCGGAGGAGCAGTCAAAGGAGAGAGGTCAGCAGGTGGAGGAGCTGCAGAGGCTGCTGGGAAACATGGAGATCGAGAGTGGCATCCTCAAAGACAAGATGGCGGCAGGGGAGGCAGAGCTGCTGCAGCTTAAAGCAGGCAGTGAGGAGGGGGGGGAGAAGGAGCAGAGGTGAGATAGTAAAGTACAATCATTGGTTTGAATAAAACCTAAAAGTTTTTGTTGTTGTTAACAAGCCAAAAAGGTGGAAAAACTTTGTTTCACGGTTAGTTTTAATAGATACCAATGCAAATATAGTCAAATTTATCCACTATCAGAGAACATATCCCTAAATATGAGTTTGATAGGTTGATTATCTATTAACAACTTCCCAAAATACAAATCATACAATTAACATGATGCCCCTCTAGTCAGAATTACAAAAATATTTTGTCCAGTAGCTTTCTTAGTGTATGGCTTTATACTTCATATGTGTCAACTGGCTATTAGTATAACTGAGTGTCCTCACATGTGCATTTGCAGGGTTGTAGAGCTGGAGAAGGAGGTAGCCATGCTGAGAGAAAAGATTCATCACCTTGACGACATGTTAAAGAGTCAGCAGAGGAAGGTCCGCCACATGATCGAACAGGTATTTATATACACAAGCAGGTTGCCTAGTGGTGCAAGGTGCACACAGACACACACACACACACACACACACACACACACACACACACACACACAATGCAAATTATGCCTCTTCTGGCCACAAGCACACAGGAAGCCATTAATAAGGAAATTAGATTTTGAGGAGGCGGACACATAAAGTGTTATTGATATGAGGGAGTGGAGCTGAGAGGAAACGTGTGGTGAAACAAAACTCACTTGTCATGAATAAGTGATGCTGCATCTGCTCTTGTTGAGGAAAAAATGAGTTCTGTTTCTCCTGAGCGTCTGACATTGTTTGTTTGTGTTTGTTTGCTTTGTCTGTAAAACAGCTGCAGAACTCCCGGACTATCATGCAAGAGAGAGATCGAGTCATCAGGGATCTGGAGGAGAAGGTGGCTTTCCTGGAAGCTGAGGTCAGGAGCTGCATATCCCTGCATTCATTAAAAATATATAAATGAATCCACTAAAGGCTTGTTCCTACTTAGACATGTTATTGAGAATATTTTTTTTGTGTGAATCTGTGCTTTAGCCTAGAAAAAGAATCCTAAAGGACACACACATTAATGTTTATTACACCTTTTGCTTTGCAGAACAGAGAAATGCATGACCACATGGAGTACTTCCTGGCAGGCCAGAATCCTCCACCCCTGACGTCCAATGAGAATAAGCCAGAGGTCGTTTACAGGTGACCAATTACTTTTTTTCCCCATTTCCATTTCTGCTCATTTTCTTTGCCACAGCTAATTTCATCCTATTGGGAGTATCTGTCTACTGCTTGTGCTATAGTTAAATGTCCACGTAAACTTCATAACATTAATTTTTCATTTTTTTTATCCCCCTCTGTACAGTAAACCACTCACACCGACAACACAGACCAACAAGGTCCTCCCGTTCATCAAAGTCATTGAGATCAAGTCCTGAATGGAGTGTCAACCAAAGGAATGATCAGAAGTAAAACAAAAAAACTGTAAATATATATTTAACCAGCTACCGGTATATAAAACGTAGGTCTGCAGAAAATTTCTCAGCCATACAGAATCAAAACAGGTAAAGTAAGAGAGAATTGAATCTAGGATACAAACATAGGAGAAATCCTAAAAAGGAAACAAAGAAGGAGCTGTGCAATGCAAAGAATTTTACTGAACCTTTTTAGATGAATTACTGTACAGTTTACTGAGCAGTAGACTATGTCCTGTGTCAGCAAGTCTCAAAGTTCTAGTGGCAGTAGCAAGAGCTCAGTAAAGTTCCCAATGTTGTTAAGTTATCCACCTCCACTTCTCTTCCATTAACAATATAAAATAAGCAGTTTGAGATTATTAACAGTTATTATTGTTGATGTCTCTATGTCACATACACTTGGATAAATGTACAAATAATCATGTTGTGTTGGGTGTTTTCAGCACTTCTTCATGCCACAGCCTGCTCAACCACAATCCTAAGCATCAGGGTTCGGGGTCAAATTCCTCAGTGCTTTGCACCACATTGCCAATGGCAGGCATGTAGTTAGCTATGTCAGCAGTATGATTTATGTTTAACTTCATATATTTCTCTGACATTAGAATGTTATTTTACATATTAGAATTTTGACCTTCTTTGTTTTACTTATGCTGGAAAATACTTAATGGAGGCTACATGTAGAGACAGTGGCTGGATGATGTTACAATTTTTATTCTTATCTACGCTGCCAAGTGCTGCCTCAACACACTCACTATAATAAACTGTTTTGTGCTAAAAGGTGGCATATTTAATAACAATAACTCTGATTTAACTGATAAACTTTCTTGTTGGTATAATTATGCAGTTTGTATGGACCTTACTGTTTCTTTCTGTAAAATACTTTGTTTCAATCCAGGATGAACGTTTTTATAAACTGAATTACCTTTAACTGTGAACCTTGTAGTTAGATACCCCGAAGTTCAGACTGTGTACTTTTATTGTAAACTTTGTTAAATCTTATTTAATTATAATAAATGGCCCGGTTTATCAGACTCATTTGTTGTGCTTGTGAAGTTTCACAGACTTTACTGTATCGTCTCTGTTCTTGCATCTTTACTCCACAACCTTGTGCTGCCACCTAGTGGAGATATTGAGGACACTGAATATGTTTGTTGTTTGTGAGGTTTTTATCTCATACAACAAAAGTATACAACCTCACATAAATACAAAAATCACACATTATCAATTGAATAAGTTATAATCGTCCATATAAATATCTTACATCCCTACAAACACAATCAATCAATCAAAAAGTACATCCATATTTACATTTGGACTTTTGAGAAAAAAATAAAAATGAATCCAGGTGATTTGTCATTAACTTTGCTGTTATTACAAAAATGACAATGAAAACCTTGCCAGGTTGGCTACAATCATTTGTCCTCTGAACACACTCATTAGGTCCAAAATGAAATCAAAGCCATTGGTGTAACACGTCCACATAAGGGCTTCATCATAATGAAAGGAAATAAATCTTGTGACAACAAGATTTTAACAGCCGTTATAAAAAAAAGTCTTTTAAATTACTTAACTTATAGAAAATAGAAGTTTTCCCAAACTTAATTTTGGATCACAGTTTTACAGCTCAGTTGGAAAACAAAGTTACAGCCTCTTACAATTTATTGTTTCTCAGTAGGCTGTGTAACCATTGTGCAGACATGGTCACACACACCATACCAACATTTTCTGACAGTCTGTAACAGCAGTGTTTCACAGCGTGCTCTCCAGTGTGTTGTAGTTGTCTTTGAAACTTTTGAGCTCCAGAAAGTGTTTGGGCCTCTTGCTGCGCTGGCCAGTAGAGGGCAGGTAGGTGACCTGGATGGTGGAAGGAGTGCTGCGGACCGGAGATCCTGTCAAGTCCTTGGCTGCTGACTGGTGATACTGGTCCAGACTGGTGGTGCTGGAATAGGCCTTCACCCTGTGGGAGGAGACAGAAAACAGATGTAAATGGTTGGCAGTGGACAAATACAATGTATGATTAATACTAGTAAAATAATCATATTCATGGATAAAATGGCAGTGAAGTAGCAGCAGTAACACTGAACAGAAGTGGGAAGAAAGTTGTTTAAAAATAGATTGTCACGAGCTGAAAAGATGAGTGCACATAGGTAGAAGATAGGTAGGGAAGATCTTCCCTTTATTATATGTGATTGCACTGATAAAGGCATAATACATCATGAAGCTTGCTGCCAGCCTGCTCAGCTGTAAATGTTTTTACAGCACAGAATATATTACATATTATATATTTATATATACAGATGATGGCGTCCACTTGAATATACATATTTAAAATGAGTACAACCTGACTGTCAATCATCCATTTTGTTCATCAATGAAAAGCAGACTGGCAATGTGAACACTTTATTTTTAGAACTTAAAACTGCTGAGGTGATCACTTGCTAAAGCATGCACCACGCCTCACCCTGTTGGTTTGAGCAATGCAGACCAACAATTTTACAAGACTAACAATGTCAAGTCTGGACCAGTATGACAGTACTTACACATCAGCTAGTTCGTTGAGAGCCTGCTGGTATTCAAGAAACTCTGCCTCCCCAAACACCTGAAACGAAGAGTTAAAATCAAATCAGTAGCATGTTACAACAGCTAATGGCATATACTGTATGTTAAACCCATTATATTTTCCTTTCATCCCTTACCATTGTCACACACACTGAGTCCAACATAAAAGTAAATGTATTCACTTATTGGGCCCTCAAAAATTCCACAATGAAACAAAAAAAAGTAGTTACTATTGTATGTACATTACTTTCTGCTAACAAGCACACAATGCAAAACTGTATTTTATAGATCAGATTAGTAAAGATCACCATTGTTTGACTCAACAGCTGTTAGCGATGACAAAAAATGATGATCGGAAAGTGTCAGAGAAAGATCAATCTATTGCTCACTATGGAGTTTAATATTGAGTGTCTATTTATAGGGAGTAGTAAATGAATGAACAAGGGGGTGATTTCGGACACAGCAACAAAAACACGAGTACACACCCCAGTCCCATGGCGAGCGCTGTCGTAGCCCTCAAGCAATCGGTCAATGAGCGCGCTGTGGCTGCTCTTTATCAGAGAGTGGGAGTTGCGCAACTCTAGCAGCCAGTTCCTGAAGTTGCGTCCTGTAAACGCACTAGGACTGCGGCTTATCTCCTGCAGAGGAATTCCTGAGAACCAAACAGGAAGGAACAAGAAGTGAAGGTTAGAAAACATGACATTTCAATACTACCAACGCGGAAACTGTCACTCTGCAAACTCACGACTTGGTAAACTCATTGAGAAAAATGTATCATTTCAAACACAAAGTTTAAAGGAGAACAGATTTAAGATTGTTTTTGATGAAAGGGTATACTGCTGTTTTTCCACAAGAGGATTTGTTAGATGACGATGGCAATGAGTGTGAGAATAATGTAATCAGTTATGTGATGTGATGATGAGGAGAATTATGCATGTACCTGCAGAATCAATAAGTTTAACCCGCAATTCTAATGTTTCACCTGAGTCACGGATGGCATCCAGAGCTTTCATTCTGTACAGGTAGTTGTAGCAACCTACAGTACAGAGAGCAAAACACAAATAGGGTTTTGTTTTCAGATCACATAATAAAGGACAATATGCAGTGATAATACATTCAGGTGGCAACAAGTTGAGCTGAAAAATTGACTGACTAATCTGCAATCCCTGCTTCAGCCTGTCGTCTTCTTCTGATAGGAGACGAGGTTCGAAACAGATCTCTTGGACTTTGGACAGCCTGGAGTCAATCTCTTCCCTCAAACCCTGTAAATTCATATATATAGAAAATACATAGACTCGTGAACTCTTGCACCAACATCAGCTGCTGCATATTCAGCTTCTGTCTGACAACACGAGGGGAAACCAGGCATGTAAAATGATCAATTTTACCTTAGGCGCATTGTGGCCAATGGGTGCATGGGGTCCCCGACGGGATCTCATTGCAAAACGCATGATTTGCCTTTTGACGAAGATAAACAGCAGCACAAAAACCTGCACACAAAAACAAAACACAACAGGACAGGATCTTAAATCCAGCATCATTAAATGTGTGCTAAACAGCTAGTAACCAAAACTGTAGCGTAGCTCCTTACCAAACTTCCATAGGCCATGACCAAAACAACATTAACCCCTGATAGTGGCGATGATTCTGCCATGTTATCAATTAGTGTGTACAATTTATCTACAGGTCGATTAGCTCGCTAGCAATGAATCTAAACGTTTTGTTGCTACATAAGCTTGTTAGCTAACAGCCGGGTGTTCATTTTGAAATGAGTACCCACTGCAGCACAACCTTTTTATCACTCTGCAGCTTTTAAAGGGTGTTTCTAGAAAGTAAACTATGTAGAGACCGCATTGATACTCCTCTTCGTATTCAGCGACATCACACATGAAATTACGCAGTTCAGCTTGTGCTAGCTATGCGCCGAGAGAGCGACAGTGACCGCTGATTTGCGACGCTCCAAATACCGTAATAACTGTATAAGAGGGACCAGTCACGTCTAACAACGTACCTGTAGTTTAATTCATAATTTGTATGTATAAAATATTTCTTTAGTCCCAGTAATGCTACTGCTGTTTTGTACCATGCAATTTTTTTTTATAAAATGATCTTTCTCCTTGTACAAAAGTGGATATACATAAAATTTTGGATAATCATTTTTCATCATTAATTGACCGGCTGTGCATTTAAACAAGTACTTTACAACAATATAACTGCACATTGTACTGGATTATATATATTACATTATTATTATATCAACATTAGTAGTGGTAGTAGTAGTAACATATTTAGTAAAACTATACTATATTAAATTATACTATTACATACATATACAGTATATAGACCCCTACATACCTTTATATATTGGTTATGTTTTTCTTTTCATTATTCCTACTTGTACATGCACAAATATGTTTAAATTATGAAAATTACATAAAGCACATATTTTACACCATTAAGACCCTTAACAAGTATCTATCTCAATAAGGATTTCAGAGTTGCGGAAGTGGACTCGATTACATAGTTTTGTACACAAGTATTTGCATTCATTTACACATTCTTGTACAAATTTATTGTAAAGTATATATAATAATTTTTCATTCAAGATGTTATTTTCTTGCCCGTCAACCTGTCTCTTGTACAGTTGTAACATGGGAAACTCGAGTCTCTTATTCACTAAATATTAACCAGATATTTTTTACTATCCCTCACTTTTTGTCGTGAGTTTATTATCTGTGCTTTGCATCCCCACCGCTGACATATAATGACTCTGTTGCTGATATAAAACTATATTAGTGAGTGATCACATGTTGTGGGTCCGGTTTCCTCGAAGCGCTGTGTAAACCACGTGACGCAGCTCTCCGTGGTGTCAGAGTGGAAAAGAAACAGGTAAATTCAGTCTCTCGCTTATTGTGTGAGCGAGTCGGTTCGTTATATTTTCTCAATTTAGTTGTATCAACTTGGGGTTCAGGAATTATATCCTGTCCTAAATCCGACTAGAAGGTCGACAACGAGACCACTTGTCGGTCGGTTGTGTAGCAGTCTCTAATATTGAGCCGGGTTTCTGGTCAGTATCGCCTGTTATTTATTTTCATTTTAGGGGCCTGCAGGCCTGCCATTAGCCTCGGTATTTCCATGTCGAGAGCCCGGCCGTCAGATTACACCTGGGCCAGACTGATTGAGAATGTAGCAGAGTGGTGGTGTAGTTTATGAAGCCGCTGCTTTGCTAACGTAGCTAACTAGCCAACGTTTCCTGGCTATGTAGCTATGTGAAACGTCGTTAGTTCGTGGAGTTAGCATGGCTAACAGTCGTTAGCAGACAACTAGTGGCAACGGAGTGGCATGGGCGTTATTGGTTTGACCAGTCGAACATGAAAGCTTCATTGCTCGCTAGTCGTTGATTAGCTTATTAATTTGTTGACCATCAAGATTAGTCAGCTAACGCTATCAATTCAACGTTGTACATCCAGTTATCGGCACTTAGTTAGCTGGTTAGCCAGCGGCTGTTAAAGTTAGCCTCGTAGTCGCCATGAGGTGAAGCCGTGAGAAGCGGAAGCCCACCAAGACTTGAAAGCTGGTTGCTTTCCCCTCGAGTATTAGCCAGTTGGCTAGCGTTTTGGCCATGTGGCTGGCTAGTGGAATTGGATATCTTCGACGGGGCCTGGCTTTAGGCTTGTTTGTGGGCTAGTCCACACAGGGTTTTACGTAACGTATGCAAGATTAAGGAGTAGCTGTCGATAACAAGGTTAACAGTTTGCTGTTGAACAGAGGTGTAGTTGGCTGACTGAACTGTGTGTTTGTATCTTCTCTCTCTCATTTGATGCTATATTCAGTGTAGATCCATCTGTCATTGGCTCTGTGATCATATGATGTCGTTTCACAATGTAGGTTAACTGAACACTACCATGGCTATTTTGATATGTAAAGTGTTGCATCATGTCCCGAGAAGCAGAGTAAGTTAACCTATGTTGTGCACTAGTAAGCCTGGTATGCAACAACACCCAGTGTACCATGGCACTCTAGCTTCCCGGGTCAAACCCGCGACTAGCTTTGGTTTGAGACATTGTCCTAGAAAGGGGCTGAAAAACATCCTTTGTCAACGTTTTCCAGACGTGTCGGAAACAAAGCTGATGGTGTCCTCTTGATACTGCTGAGCTTCCCCCCCACTAGGCAATAAGCTACCAAGCAGTTTGAGGAAGTAGTATTCAAGTTAACCAGACATGCATATGACATAAGTAGGTCATAGTCACAGGTCTGTAATATCTCTCTCATCTTTCTCTCCTTAGGTGTTATTCCTTTGTAAATACTGTTATTTGTATATACTGTAAATGATGACGTCCATGGGCGGGAACCGAGCCCGGGGCAGCTGGGAGCAGACACAGGGCCAGACACAGAGCCAGACACAGCACAAGCAAAGGCCTCAGGTACCCTCACTCTCACCACCTGTCACACTGCCCAGATGCAAAATGACTTGCACCAGGGTTGAATGCAGTCACATCAAGTATTGCTAAATGTTACTTGTTTTTGTTAGATGCAAAGTTTCTGGCTACAAAGCTAAATGGTGCACACACCAACAATTGGAATTGTCAATATAACTTCAAATGTTATATGTATAGCTCAGCATAATATGCTCTCTAAGGGACTGTGAAAAAAAGATTCCAGTTACAGCCATTTTGAGAAGTTTCAGAACTGTTGACACCATATTTTGACAATCAGTAGGGGGATCCCTGATTGTAGGCTTTGGGATTACAGTTACAGTCTTAACTACACTGATCAACTCAGTTTCTAAGTTGACCAGCTAACATCACACAGGTTTTAACACTTATAATGTAGTGTTTGGGCAAGTCTTGAAGCATGTGTGATGACTGTAGAGTCACTTTTGTAGCCACTGATGGCAGTGCTTATGTTGGATGAGACACGGTTGCATGAAAATGTTGTTTTTAGGATAATTTTTGATAAAAGTGTTGTATCAATATTAGAATGTCTGTTTGCTTTTTTCTGAAAAAGCCTACTTTTCCTGCTCCCTGACAAAAGCATACAAAACATAAGTCTTGCCGGATTTTTTTTTTTTTTTTTTTAAATTACATACCATTTAGATAGATAACTGGCATACTATGCAATACTAGTTTGCATGAGATCCTACAAGTTCCCATGAGATGGTGGCCATTTGAGTTTCATGTCTGTGAGATAATCAACTCTAATGGGTTCAATGTTCAAAGTGAAATTTATTTTCCATATGCAATACTAAGTATATAGGGGTAGAAGTGGACACAGAATCTGTTTGTGATGCCATTACAGAGTAGCAAGGAAAAGTGTTTTTTCAGTGTAAGGTCACTGTAACCAAAGTATGTATTATTTGTTTTATTATTTTGTTGGTTAATAATTACTTTAAAGCTAGACTTAGAAATTTTGTAAATGCCTAAATATGAGTTTGTAATTTCTGTCTCTACAAAAAGCAAAACTTGTGCCTCTGTTTGTTCACACGCATGTTGGATGTTTCACTCCTCTTGAAACAGGCTACCGCAGAGCAGATCCGACTCGCGCAGATGATTTCAGACCACAATGATGCGGACTTTGAAGAGAAGGTCAAACAGGTGAGCAGATGGACTGTTCTGCACTGTTCTGTAGCTAACCCTCTGTTCTGACCTTCCGCTGAAATGAGAATTATTACAGAATTGCTTTTTTTGTTTGTTTTTTTGTTTTTTTTACATGTTTCCTTAACTGTGATTTGTTTTTATTTGTTTTTTTTTTAAACACAACATAAGTCTGCAGAACATCCTTTCTATAAATGAAATGCCAGGAGTGTCACCCAGGGGTCATGTCTGTGTCTCATCATGCCACTCTTTCTTTTCCAGCTGATTGACATCACAGGCAAGGACCAGGATGAGTCTATGATTGCACTGCACGATTGCAACGGGGATGTCAACAGAGCCATTAACGTGTTGCTGGAGGGTAGCCCAGACACTGTGAGTATTAGCTTTGTGTGAGGGCTTAGCGCTGTGAGGGCCAGGTTCTGGAGAAATCAGGGCTACACTGGGTTAGATAACTATGGTAATGAACTAACAGTTTATGTTGTATGAGTGCTGCTCCTGTGACAGTTTTAAGCATGGGATGTATGTGGGCAGAGATAGTGTTTTCTTCGTTTAGACAGTTGATTAAGAAAGTCCTTTCTCAAATTTATTACTGTCACACCTTATCAACTAAATTATTTAACAAGAGGTGAACACAGTGATCAACTCATTAAGTTAACATATGATCAATTCTTAAAGATTGCAGTGTATGAATTTACCTTGCAAGTGCAGGACCAAAGACCATCTAAACGAGCCTTCATAGTTCTGTATATACAAGTTGTGATATAAATGTAACCAGTAGAACATGGGGGGTGGATTGAGTCCAGAAAAGAGTGGAAATGCACAGCAAATTAAACAGACATGATGAGGGGTTGTCAGCCACTTAGATTGTCAAGATCCAGGGAGAAAGACTTGGAAAAAGAAATGGGCTGGTTTAATATGACTTGGTGGGAAATTACTGACAAGAGGAACCAAATTTGTTTTTGTTTTCACTTTGTAATTTAAAGATGCTGCTGCCCCGTAGAGTTATCACCTGGTGAAAAATTTGTTAATATATACATTTCTTTTAGATTTGATAATGTTTTAACCTTAGCACATTGTCCTGTGATAATGGCAGGGATGTTAAGATGCACTTGAATTGGCCCTCACTTTTTTTCAGTGAGCGTTCTCTATCTTGGTGAATCAGTACAAAGTTAATAAGTCCAGCAGTACACTGACTTAACAACACTGTCTTATTGTCTTTACTTCTTTCTAAGGACTCTTGGGAAATGGTGGGGAAGAAGAAAGGGGTGTCAGGCCAGAAGGAGACTAACCAAGCAGAGACTGGAGAGGAAGGAAAAGAGAACCGGGAGAAAGGAGGAGAGAAAGATGTAGCACGTCGTCG